GAAAGAAAGAAAGAAAGAAAGAAAGAAAGAAAGAAAGAAAGAAAGAAAAAGAATTTCTCAGACAAACAAAATTGAAGGAGTTTGTCAACAAGAAACCTGACTTGCAAGATGTTAAAAGAAGTTCTTGAGAAAGAAAATTATATAGGTCATAAACTCTGACCTACATAAAGAGTGTCAGAGAAGGAATAAATGAAGGTTAAAAATAAAATCTTTACTTTTCTTCTTCTAATTGTTAACAGTTAACAAACAGATAACAGTGTGTTCAAAATAATAATAGCAACCATGTATCCAGTGATTATAGCTGTAAATAAGTGAATGATATAGTGGATGGGAGGGAGGAACTGAGAATACTCTATTGTAAGGTACTTGTACTACCAATGAAGTGGTATAGTATTATTTGAAAGTGGACTTGGGTTAGTTGTAAATGTATATTGCAAACTCTAGGGAAACCAGTAAAAAATTTTCCCAAAAGAAAAATTAATAATAGATATGCTAAGAGAAGAGAGAAACTGGAGTCAAACAGAAAGCTAAGACTTTGGAACTTTTGCCTAAAAATTTCAGGAAGAAGCCCAGCCAGCATGGCTCAGTGGTTGAGTGTCGACCTATGAACTAAGAGGTCATGGTTCGATTCCAGGTCAGGGCACAAGCCCAGGCTGTGGGCTCGATCCCCAGTGTGGGGCATGCAGGAGACAGCCAATCAATGATTCTCTATCATCACTGATGTTTCTATCTTTCTCTACCTCTCCCTTCCTCTCTGAAATCAATAAAAATATATTAATAAAAATTAAACAAAATTTTAAAATTTCAGGAAGCCATTAAAAGATTTTAGGAAGAGTGACAAGATCAGATGTGTAGCTTATAAAGAACACCCTGGGCAATCATCCTATATAATAGAAGGCTAATATGCAAATTGTCCCCTCGGGAGTTCGATCGACTTCTCGCTATGACGTGCGCTGACCACCAGATGGTGGCATGGAATGAAGGAAGGCCCTGGCCGGCAGCCGGAAGGCTCTGATTGGCCCTGATCGCCAGCCAGCCCGAGGGACCCCACCCGTGCACGAATTCGTGCACTGGGCCTCTAGTATACATATAAAATCTATGCACAGGCTCCCTTCCTGCTGCCCTCTTGCGGCAGGATGTCTGTCTATCCACCAATAAACTTTGTTTCTGCCAACAACAACAAAAATCTCACACACACACACACACACACAGATAAAAATTGATTTAGTACAAGGAATTAGCAAATTGACTTATGTAATTGTGGGAGTTGGCTAAGTAAGCCGGAGGTCAACAGAAGAGGCGGACAGGAAGGGCTGATCCTGGGGGAAAGGGAAGTAATGCAGGCCCAGCTGTCTCTGACTCCGGGGGGCCTCGCCCTCTTTTAAAGGGATTCCATCTGATTAAGTCAGACCACCCAGGATACTCTCCCTTTAGGTTAACTCAGAACCAACCCATTATGGATTTTAGTTATATTTGCAAAATCCCTTCACCACAGTCCCCAAATTAGTGTTCCATGGAATAACTGGGAGACGGTGTGTGGGAAGGGATTGGCTAGGAACGGCTGCTTCTCCCTCATGGCCCACTACAAACAGACGAGGGGGGGAGGATGCTAAGGAATTTTGTTTGGCCTAGTCAAGCTAACACATCACAAATATTTAGAGTGATACCTGGGGTTTCTGATTTGGGCAATAATGTGCTGAGTCCAAGAATATAGAAAAATAGGCTTTCAGGGGAAAAAAAATAGTAAGTTTGATTTTCCACATATTGAGTTTCAAGTGCCATAGGACTTTCTGACTGCCGGCCACCTGTTTCTTTGCAAATACCATTCCCTGTCCAGAGTGCTATTTCTTCCCCTCTTCACTAAATAACCCCTACTCATTTTATTAATGAATAATTTTCAGATTTAACTTACATCTTCCACTATGAGGTCATTTGTCTTTTTTTCTTTAAAATAGCACCTTAACTCAGAATTTTCCATACATAAAAAATTACAAGTTCACATGCACAGCTTGTGGCCATGGAGCTCTGGGCTTTGCCCTCCAGGAACAGGCTAACTTGGCCTCCTGCAGGCTGGTTCAAAGACCAAAGGCATTTCACTCAGTCCCAACTGAACCAGGAGTGGGAGAGGGAGAAGAGTTCACCTGACTTCAAACGAACCTACAAGAAGTTGGCCTGGACAGCAAATCACACACTGATTGGCTCAGAGAGCCCCACACTCGTACCCCTGAAATAGCCCAGCAGAGCAAACTGCTATGCCTCTCCCTCAACACACACACACACACACACACACACACACACACACACACACACTTCTTCTCGGACATCTCTCACCACCCTCAACCCAACATTGGAAAGTCCTCTGCCTTTTACAACAGAAGCTCTTCTACCATGAAGGGGTAATCATTTGCTAAATTATGCAAGAAACTTTGCCTTCATTACTGAGGTCAGGACAGTAACTGTCCAGTCCTCGTCTGATGTAAAAATAGGCAAAATAAAATCTAAATTCTATGTCTGGAACATCTTCCCCACATCAATGCCCCGTAGGGCACAGTTCCATGACTCCTTCCCGGCAAACTCGGCCCTTCTGTTCCACGCTCCCCTAGCATCCTGTTTTCACTGGCAGCATGTTGGGCTTTTGGAATTGTCACTTTCTTATTTACAGTTATTGTGTGAACTCTGACTTCCCTGGTAGACTGTAAGGTTCATGCTGTATCTCTCATCTACCTTCTAAAGACACTAACTGCCTACTTGAAATGCATTCCAACTTATCCGTGGGTTCTCCTGGCATCAACGATGTTACCTCTTTTAAATCTAAACTCAGAACTTGCCTTAGTTACCAAACAGCAGGTTTTTCTTTACCGAAGATGCAAATTGTCTACCCTGCTTATACTGCATCCTATCTAGTCTCTAAGTTTTCTTCCAGTTACCCTCCCTCTTCCCACAGAGCCACATCTAGTACTCCCCTAAAGAGGTCACTCTCATGTCCAGCGTGGCCCCACTAATGGAGAAATATGGTTCCACTACTGAGAACAAGGGGGGAGATGGAGGTCAAACAGTGATTGACAGATAACTCCCTTTCCTTCTAGGGTTAGGGATGAACCCAAGATCTCAGTTTATAGAACAGGAAACTAATGCCTAGAAAGGCTCACATGACTGAGCCAGCGTTTGTGGCACTACACAGCCCTCCACTGACAACAAACAGATCCAGTCCTGTATATCCATCCGAAGATCTGACAATAGCTATGGCCTTACTTTCCCTTGGTCACAGGCCTAGGGTCATCTAGGTAGGTGTTCTATCCACTATAGGTTACTTGCTAAGGAGATAGGTAGGTAAGTAGGTAGATAGATAGATAGATAGATAGATAGATTGATAGGAAGAAATGAAATGATCTACTAAATCTCCAGAAGTAACGCTCATCCTGCCAGAGAGAGTTAATTTTCTCTGGCAAACAGTATCATAGCTCAGAGAACAGACTTTCGACCCCCCTCTGGGATATCCTCTTGCAAGGGAAGGGAAGTACCCAAGATGTCCTTGTTTTTATCCCAGGTAGGAATAAAAACAAGACATTATAGCTGGTACTCACATCAGAGGAAGATCAAAGTGACCAAGGACTCAAGAAGGTCACACACAAAGACCACTGAAATGACAAGGGTTGGTGTCAAGTCTGCATAGGGCAAATTGGAGAATGATACTAAAAATTAAACAAGCAGGCCTATGTATATGCTTATGTACACTTATGTGACTCCAGGGAAACAACTCAAGAGAAGTCTGCCTTGGCTTTTTCACAAAAGAACCAGAATAGAGATGGGTAGACTGTAGGAATGATGCTCTGAATTAACCACTCATCTTGCACCTCCTTAGTCAAGGTTATTAACTGAGTTTTCTCTCCAATGATCTGAAGCAGGTATACAGGTAGCAGATGTTTAAAAAAAATACTTTAGTTGAATTCTTAAATAGCTAAGGACCATTCAGGGGAAGTCTGCCTTCGTTCCAACGATCTTCACCAGACTAGAAAACCTGCTGATAGGAAGAGGGGCAAAGTCCAAAAACCTAGATGAAACTATTAATACAGTCATGCTCCACTTAACGGCAGGAACACATTCTGAGAGATGCCTCATTAGGTGATGTTGCAGTTGTGTGAACACCAGAGTGCCTTACACAAACCTAGAGTATAGCCTACTACACACCTAGGCCATATGGTATAGCCTATTGCTCCAAGGCGACAAACCTGTACAGCATGTTACCATACAAAACAATACAAATTTAAATCAAGTACAGGAGAAAACGATGAAAAGAGACACAGTAAACACGATATGTAGGAGGCTGCTGCCAGTGTAATTCAGAATAGTTTTGCAGCAAACTTTTTTATAAGTATAAAGAGTATACTCTAAAATAACAATAAAAAGTATAGTACAGTAAATACAGAAACCATTAACATAGCCACTTATTTTCTAGTATTATGTACTGTACATAACTGTATGTGCTATATTTTCATATGACTGGCAGCACAGTAGGTTTATTTAACCATCATTACCACAAACACATGAGTAATGTGCTATGTTAGAACAGCTACAAGGTCACTAGGCAGTAGGAGTTTTTCAGCTTCATCATAATCTTATGGGGCCACCAACATATATGAACACATATCATTGTTGATTGATACTTATGTGGTGTGTTATGTGGTGCATGACTGTAATAGCTAAGTTATGTGGTGCATGACTGTAATAGCTAAGCCCTATATAGCACTACCTATGTGCCAGGCAATGTTCTATAAACTCGACATATCATAATTCATATAATCTCCAATTATAATTCATATAATCCTTACCTACCCAGCGAGGTTAGTAAGAGGCACGCAGACATGTGCAGTCAAGGTGTACCACTCCCTCTCCCC